GTAGCGACTTTGTTTTATTTTATAGTATCATTTACAGACAGTTCATGCCCTTTTGATTTGTAAATTAGTTTTTTTTTCCACTTGTCCATCAAAACTGTTGATGTGAAGAAGAATATATAACAATGATGCTCTAGCTTATAACTTATGTGATGGAATCTGTCGTACTTTTGAAATGTATAAAATGATCTTTTCCAATGTCTAAATTGACTTTTATTCCGTATTAAATACAGATGATTCATTATACTTATACTTATGAATTAGAATTTCTTAATGTATTGATTAATAAGAATAATAGTTATTGGTAGTTTTATTATTTACATAACTAATTTTGTGGTTTCTTTAATTTGTTGAAACTGAATGACCAACGGTTATGCATTTTTATCAAATTTTTGATGATTTTTAATTCTTGCGTTTGAATTCTCAGGTATTTAGGAGGAAAGATGATTAAGATTTTTAAAAAATGTGGAAGGGAGTACAATAAACTATTTGTGATTACGTCAACCATTTTCTCTTCCCCATCCTTTTAGTTTCTTGTTCAATTAGTTCATTTTAATCATTTCGCAATTGGAATTGTTAGTGAATTACTTGAATGTAATTGACTCTAATTTAACATAGGTTGTTGATATAGATGTTAGTTTTGAACAGAGACTCTTGACGATGCATTCAAGTGATTGAATAAAATTGACAAGTTTGAGGATAGACATTTTTGGGTGAAGATGGAGTACGGTGTTATTGGTAAATTGATGAAGAGGCTAAAAGTAGCTGAAGGGAAGGAAAAATTTCTTATTCAGGTAAAGTTGAATAAGGCCATGATGATGGTAAAATCGAAAGAAGCATATGATCCAAATGATCCCACCAATTATGGAATCATTCAGAATGATCAGTTACGATCTTGCGTTGATCTTCTACAAGATGCTGGGTTTGAAAGGAAGCAGCGGTTGATACAAGGTGGAGAGAGTAATGATGACTTACAGTTTGATAACATGAAGGAGAAGAATACTATAATAATGGAAAAACCTCATCAATTAGACAAGATACTTGAGCAGAACCTGTTGGCATTGGATAACTCCTTTCCAAACAAAGAGAAAATCCTCGAGGAAGAAATTAGAGATCTTGCTGAGGAAACGAACTCATTGATTGAGAAGAACAGAACACCTCTCTACAGGAAAATATGCGGATGCCTATTCTACCTTTCTTAATATACTAATAACTGACTTGAGCCTTCTAAGCAATTTTTTACTAAAACTAAATGATTATTTTCTTACCATTTTTCTCTGGAAGCTTTGATTACAACATGACATAACTACTGTTATTGTTCGATAAAATCAATT